TTACCTTCAAGCCTTTAAGACCCCAGACGCTATACTTTTTGATAGCCGGGCACCATCAGCTTTCTTCACCACATTTGCTTATGCACCCATTTGAAGACAAACATTTTTACAAGTTAAGCTAAACTATTTCATTTTAAGAAAACTTCTAGGGATATTAAAATATAAGGTTTAAAGATTATCCGAGAGCAAGAATTCCAGGGATTCACACATCTTCAAGGGTCCAGGAAGTCTACGTCCATGACAATTTGTAATTGTTTTGTACCTCTCTCACTTTGATCAGAATTCGTTTATGGAATCTGAGACCAATAAACAGGTCTCAGGGTTTTAAAGATACCAGTTCAACTTAAAGCACCATTAACAATTTGGACTTGATGGCTGCCATAGATAAAAGATTGACAAGGATACTTGCTGAGCAAGTCCTTAAAGGAACATGTAGAAGTGATGCCAGGTATATAAGGAGGACCCACAGTGGAACTCAGGGATTCTTGAGAACCAAGTGGTTTCTATACTACTACTTGCATTACTACCAGCAGAGGAAATTTTTTAAATTAAGAATGTCCACCTTTTTCTATTAAATTCTATTAAATTTCTATTAAATTTCTCAAATTACTTGGGCCTCTGACTCTCTGTAATTTAGCAACACCTCATTCTCTCCTCTGTTATATCTCTTTTAAATGTGTAAATAAAATTTTTATTTTTAAAATTCTGCTATTCAACTTGAACCGCAGCCATGTGATAAAGCAAACCAGAAAACAGATTCTGAACATTCCCAATATGCTTAAAAGTGTCAGCCTCTGCTGCAAAGGAGCCTGGTGGCACTGCGGGTTAAGTACTGGACTGCTAACTGCATGTTCAACTTAACCTACTGGCTGCTCTGTAGGAGAAAAGGTCAGGCTACAGATCTGGAATCTCAGAAACCCCTTATCAGGTCACTATGGGTTAGAATCAACTCAATGGTCATTAAGTTTTGCACTTTGATTTTTATTACAAAGGAATACGAGCTAATTTTATTGCATGCATCAGGAAAGTAAAATATGGCAACTTATAAGAGAAAACTAGAGTATACAGAACCAGACCATTAAAAAGAAGAAAATATTTTCTAATACCTCTTTAGGTAATTGTTTTTTATTATTGTATCCTCATATACTTACGTCCTCCTCAAGTATAGACCTAATTAGCTCCTTAATGGACAAACTCTTATTCCAGACCACTGATTCTCACTGGCACTCTAAGGAGTTCCTTAATGCCCATGCCCATCCTACATTTTATACACTGGTAAATTTTCATTTAAAGAAAAGAACTCTGATGCTTAAAAAAAGAAATTAAAATTAAGAAAACAGTAAATCTCAACACAATGCTTTGGATCCTTTTCTTAATGTTGAAAATATGGCATTTCCATTATCTAACGCATGTGACTCAAAAGATATTCCCAAAATTATTTCCCCAAAGTATTTGTTTCCCATTTGAGGAACAGATCATGACTATGTCCAATAAAAACATTCAATGTATGATGCATGAGAGGCTAATCGTTTGATGATGTTTTTCAACACGTCTGAAAATAATTATTTTTACAATGCTATTAAGAAACAGAATCTAACACACACAAATTTATTAAGTATGGTAAAATGTTAGAACCCTGTTGCACACTGTGGTGGCTAGATTTTATGCTAACTTGATGGTACCTGGTGGCATACTGGTTAGGTGCTGGGATGCTAATGGAAAAATATGTAGTTAAAAACTACATGACAAAATAATAATAATTTCTAAAGTATTAAGAGTTCATGGGGGGGAGTGGGGAGGGAGGGAAAAAATGAGGAGCTGATACCAAGGGCTTAAGTAGAAAGCAAATGTTTTGAGAATGATGAGGGCAACAAATATACAAATATGCTTGACACAATGGACGAGCCCCCGATAAAATGATTTTTTTAAAATCAGATGGCAGTAAGTACTTGGGTATAAAACAACAGAGAGGATAAGTATAAGAAGTTCAGGGTGGTATGTGCTTTCTGGTTTGCGCTGTCTGCAGAGAAGACCCGGCACAGAACTGGAAGTGAAGAGCCAGATCATGCTGATTGTGCAAAGTATTCCACAAGGGAAATAACTTTACAGAGGCCCCAGGTGGCAGTGTGCTTGTTGCTTTTAAGGGATAGCAATGAGGCCAGTGTAGCTACTATATGACAAGGTGGGCAGGAAGAGAGCACCATAATACGAGCCACATCATGACTTGCTTGTGTGGTAAGAGTTTGCCTAATGGAACTCTGCTTAATTCCTGGCATTTACACAGTAGTCTTTCAATGAAATACAAGCTTTGAAGCTTTCACTTACTTTTTTTTTTTTGCTTTCACTTACATTAATGAGAAAAGACTGAAGGTGTCAAGGATTTGATCTTGCTTGGATCCACAGTCAATTTTCATGGAAGGAGTAGGCACGTCAATCAAATGACACATTGGGAAAATATGCTGCACAAGACTTCTTAAGAGTGTTGAAAATGAAGGATGTTACTTTGCAAACTAAGGTACACCTGGCCCAAGCCATAGTATTTTCAATTGCTCATAAGCATGTAAAAGTTGGACATGGAATAAGGAAGACCAAAGAAAAGTCAATGCATTTTAACAGTGTTAGCAAAGAATATTGAAAGTACCATGGATGGCCCCCCCAAAAAATAGATCTGTCTTGGAAGAACTACAGCCAGAATGTTCTTTAGAGGTGAGATTTCCTCTCATGTATTTGGACACAACATCAGGAGAGGCCAATCCCTGGAGAGATACATGTTTGGTAAAGTGGATGGGCATGGATAGAAGGCCTTCGATGAGATGGAATGGCATAGTGGCTACAACACTAGGCTCAAATGTAAGAACAACTGTGAGGATGCCGCAGGATCAGGCCATGTTTCATTCTGTTCTACGTTGGGTCATTATGAGTTAAAATCAACTCAATGGCACCTAACAACAAAGGTGATCACACTACTTCCAAAGAGTTAAATGTTCATCCCAACTATTGCAAAGTTTAAAGATAAGATCATAACCTGGAGCCCACAATTTCTTGAAATTTCAAGTAAATTTTGACAAGTTCACATATTTTTTGGTGAGGTGATTTATTACTTCCCATTATATCTCATATAGGTCTCCAATACTGCCCCCGAGCACCAACAAAAGGCTTGCTAAAAATTAGCTCCATCTAATCCAACCAGTCCTTTGGGAGTCAACAGAAGCAGTGAGACTTCAAACAGTTACTTATTTGCCTAAAAGGACCAAAGCAGTGTACAAACCAGTGCTAATCTACAAACTGCCAATCAGGTCGCTGCTTGATGACCTCATTTGGAGATAATGAGATAAATAGCTTACTGGAGGGGGGACACACACACACACACTCCCTGCGAGACATTCCTGTTGAGAAGGCACATGGAACTACGCTAGAGCCCTGGAGTTGAAGGAGCCATGTGGAAACCCCTGACAGCACTGAGATACTTACACTGTTATTGATTCACATGACTTTCCACCCATGGGCCTGTGATCTTCCTGCATTCAGTGTAATTGCATGTGTTGCGTGAGTCTCAAGAGGAATTCATGGGCGAGTACCAGACTTATGGGCTAATATAAAACTCATGGACTTGGATCTGGACTGGCTGGAATGTTTTCTCAAAATTCAATTGCTCTTGTATATAAAGCTCTTTCCTATACACATATAAATATATCTGGGTCTGTTTCTCTAGTCAACCCAGACTAACACAATGACAAACCTCATTCTGGATGTCCATCAAATTCCTGAACGGATGAAAATGTTGACTGGTAGTTTGGAGTTTGTTCCACCAGGTCAGACTGTTAATGAAGCTTTCTATTTAAAAGTTTTGAAAAGATTGCCTAACAGTGTGCAACAAAAAAAGGTCTGATTTGTGGCAGATGGGGGACTGATTTTGCCACCACGACATTGCACCTGCTCATGCAGCCATCTCAGTGGCAAAAAACAGCATGCCTCTCTTGCTCTGTGCAACTTACTCTCTGATCTTGCTCCCTAAGACTTCGTTTCCATGAATGCAGAGGGACATGAAAAGACGCAATTTGACGATACAGCAGAGGTGAAGAAAAAAACAAGGGAGGTGCTGTCAGCCATCCAAACAGAGTTTGAAAAATGTTTCTAAGAATGGAATTGCACACTTGACAAATGTATTAAGTGTAATTGAGAGTACTTTGAGGATGATAAGGTTGTTTTCTAAAAAAATTCAAATACATAGCGTAGGGGGGAAAAATCCATTTTCCTTGGGGGGCATACCCCCTCATATATTGTTTTCTACAAACTTTATGTTCTCAAGACATTTTCAAGGAAAGAATTAAAGTATTATAAATTATTAAGGGTGCATGGGGGAGAGGGGAGGAAGAAGGGGAGGGGAGGGGGAAAAAAGGGAAAATTAGCGGATTCCGGGAACCCAAGAGGCAAGCGAATTTTGGGAATGATGTACGTATAGATGTGCTTTACACAATTGATCTATGTATTGTGATGAATTGTATGAGCCCCAATAAATTGATAAAAAATAAAAAACTATCAAAAAAAAAAGAATTAACGTACTTAATAAAAAATATTGTATCTCTTTTAAGAAAACCCTGACTCAGAAATCATTCCTAATGGACCAAGGAAACAGAACTAAGAAAAAGGATTCCATACCTCAGAGTCCTCCTCATCTGAAAATAAACCTTTTTGAGTCTTTGTTTCTGACAAGAGCTTGAGATTCTTGCTGGGAGGCAGAGTAACCTTTGGTAAGAGGGTGAAAAAATGAGTCAACAGATAAGACACCTGGAAACAAGAGTTTCTCAACTACTCATTCAGACAACTCAGAATCTACTATGATAAGACATCATCCCACATGCCAAGGAAACAGACAAAGTACATTTTGGTTGTCAACGATAAAACATACAACTTTCCTCTAGTTCCTAAATGCTTCCTCCCCTCACTATCATGCTCCCAATTCTACCTTACAAATCCGGCTAGACCAGAGGATATACACTGGTACAGATGGGAACTGGAAACACAGGGAATCCAGGACAGAGGATCCCTTCAGGACCAGTGCTGAGAGTGGCGATACTGGGAGGATGGAGGGAAGGTTAGGTAGAAAGGGGGAACTGATTATAAGGATTTACATATAACTTCTTCCGTTGGGGGTGGACAACAGAAAAGAGGGTGAAGGGAGACATCGGACAGTGTAAGATATGACAAAATAATAATAATTTATAAATCATCAAGGGTTCATGAGGGAGGGGGGAGTGGGGAGGGAAGGAAAAATGAGGAGCTGACACCAAGGGCTCAAGTAGAAAGCAAATGTTTTGAGGATGAGGGCAACAAATGTACAAATGTGCTTGACATACAATGGATGGATGTATGGATTGTGATAAGTATTGTACAAGCCCCCAATAAAATGAATAAAAAAAGAAAAAAGAAACAACCTTTTGAGAAAGGTCAACCAGGAAAATATAAAGTTGCCCAAATCTGTAGGCCTTTGTCCTACTTTATTATCCAATTGAAATAAAGTGGATAGTGCAATTAAAAAAAAATCAATACATATAAGAAGAGTCATGAAAGACAATACAAAACCTTGTGTGTATTTTGTTAGGAAAGAGGTAAGGCTATTCCTTGAGGTGTGAATTGTGCCTGAAGCAAGGCCATTTCCAACAGAGAACTATATAAAAGAAAACTGAAAAAACAAAAGCAACAATGTGTACCAGAGAGCAGCACAGACTGACTACATGTCGTAGAGTGTACAAGGGAGAGGTATAAAATCACAAACAGAAAGGAAAACAGGAGTCAGCTGGGTTCGGAGCTCTGGAGTTAGTTAGGGGAAGGGATGGTAACCAGGGTACATAGAGATTGATGGGGACACATCCCACTAGCCAAACACAAGATAATTTGAGCAGACAACCAATAATAGTAATAATAATGATGAAAGTAATAACTATAGTACGTTAAATTAAAAACACAAAACTCTACAGTGATACTAAAAGGGAAGTGGAGGAAAAGAAAGCTCTTTATTCCAAATATTACTTATCAATGATTGAGGGAAATAGGGTGGCTTTTGAATGGAACAGTAGTGTAGACACTTTCATCTAAAAACTCAAACTCCATACCACCACTTATGACACAAGAGACACAAAGTCCCTCCTGAGGTGGTGTGACAGAATGTGCACAGCCTTGCTTAACAGGCATTCTTGCCAGAGTTTAATATGAATACAATCACGGGAAATAACCAGGCAAATTCAATTATGTGAGACATTCTACAACTAGTCTTCCATGAGAAGACAAACGTGGGAGACATTGCTTTAGATGAAAAGCAGCCTGGAGAGACAGCCTGATTCATGTATGAACACTTCCTGAATCCCGGACTTCTTTGTAAAAAGGCTATAAAAATAATAAATAAATAGGCTATAAAAGCCATTTGGGGGAAAAGTTGGGAATGGTATGAGTCTTTAAGAACTCCTTGATTATATATCACTCCCTCCCTGGAGAACAGACAACAGAAAAGTGGGTGAAGGGAGACGTCAGACAGTGTAAGATTTATAAATTATCAAGGGTTCATAAGGGAAGGGTGTATGGGGAGGGAGGGGAAAAATGAGGAGCTAATGCCAAGGGCTTAAGTGGAGAGCAAGTGTTTTGAGAATGATGAGGGCAACGAATATACAAATGTGCTTTACACAATTGATATATGTATGGATTGTGCTAAGAGTTGTATGAGCCCCCAATAAAATGATTTAAAAAAAGAACTCCTTGATTGACCATTTAAGTGTTGAAGCATCACAGTTACAACTTGCTTTTTGAAAATGTAGGAAACATATTTACTTAGAAAATAGATAAATTGTTTGGCAAAATATTTCCCCCATTCAATCTAGGTTGGGTGTTGATTATACTCTTCTCTCAATTTTCTGCATGTTCGATAAATTTAAAGGAAACGACACGTCCATCTGGGTTTCCCAAGTTCACCTCCTTACATTTGTTTCCCTTCCTGCTCACCTGTCTTTCTGCTCTTACTTTACTTTCATCTGTGTGATTCACTGCAGCATTTGGTAAAGCAGCTTCTGTTTCCTTAAACAGATCTCCTTCAACGTCATCAAAGATATCAGCAGTAGATTTCTCTCTGTCTTTAAAAGATACCACAAAACAAAATTGCACTAAAATCAAATCTTCTCACAAAATACAAAGATTAAAAAGTCTTTACTCCTAAATAATAAGTAGAGAAGTTATAGCATTCCCTGATTAATTATGATAGAATAGTAAATGGATCTACACTCCATACCAACTTCCAACAGCAAAAAAACCCAAAGCTTTTTTCCTTGAAATTTCCCCAGGAGCCATGCAACTCAGATGAAAAAAGGGTAGATAGTGCAGACATCTGGCTGGCACACTTAGCCAAATAGCATCAAACTACCTGATTAAAATAGATCAGATTCACTTAACAGGTAAAGATATATAGAAAGAGATAATATTTAAAAGGGCCACCAAGTCCATCATTGTATGAGTGTAGGAGAACTGAGGGTTGACATTTGCTTTTAAAATTCAGATTATAAAGAAGAATATCGAAACAAAAACTTGAATCTCCCTCAACTCCATCCCCTACACCCAAACAAGACATCCATCAGTATAAACTTACAAAATTAAAACCACCATATTGATTCCAACCCATTGAAACCCACTGTAGGGTTTCTAAGGCTTTGTAAATCTTTGTAGGAGCAGACAGCTTCATCTTTCCCCCATGGAAAGTCTGGTAAGTTTGAACCAGCAACCTTGCAATTAGTAGTTCAATGTTTATACAAAGGTATTAACTTTAGTTATTTTCAAACAAGAAACTATAACATTTTGAACAATATGAACAATGCAGCTTATAATTTCAATTAATGCACCTTGAATGTCTTCCCATACCAACATATATAAACCTTATTCTTTTGAACATGGACCACAAATTACTGCTCATTATATGAATAGTTTCCAATCTGTCATTACTACGAGCACAGCTGCACTGAATGAGGATGCATCATTAAAGCAACATGAACATCACAAGAGACCAGCATGGTCAAAAAAAAATGGAGTCAATTCATTTGTGACTCTAAGTCACTTCTCAACAATACCCACAGTACAAATGCTTCCAGCTATGACTGCCTTTAGTTCCATATGATTTCAGTCTGTATAGATTTGAGTATATTCTGCATCAGCTTGAACTCCTTTGAAAATAACTAGACTTCCAACTTTACTTTCTACATCTCCCACTGAAAAGTTGAAATCCAGGTGGCCTGCTTCTCAATGTATTCTGTTTGCATCTATCCCTTATGAGAAAGAACCCATTCTTGCAGTTTCTGAAAATTTTATGCACCTCAGTGACATACTCCCTTCTTCTACAAAAAAACCAGTGATTCAATAATGCATTGCCACTCCAAATGTGATCATACACCAGCAGCCTCTGCAGGACCAGTTTATTAAAAATACTGAGTTTCCAGCCTCATTCCAGAAATACCAATCAGTAGCTAAGGAATGGCCTCATGATAACAATGACTTAGCTTTGAGGGGAGAAAGAGGAACAGTATTAATTTGACCACATGGTGGAGCAATAACCTGCCATATGAGAAAAAGCCAAGGACACCTAGGCTTACAGACAGAGAGAAAGAAGTTGAAGACTAAGCAGCTAGCATGTGAGGCTCTACTCATGCAACTTACTAAGGAATGCTGGAAGATAGGGTGTTATTCCAAACTCAGAACTAAAACTCATAAGTAGAAATCATAGGGGAATGGATTTTGGATCTTTACAGGAAAAATAAGGAACCTTGGTGGCATTACCCTGGCTGCTCACCATAAGTCTGGCACCTGGAAATTAACAGCCAATGAGCAGGAAAAAGATGAGGCTTTCTGCTCCAATGAAGATTTATAATCTCACAAACTCTAAGGAGCAGTTCTACTTTGCCTTGTAGGGTTGATATGAGTTGGTATCAACTCAGGGGCAATCGGTATAAAGGAAATAAACCTATGAATTTGTTTCCGTAACAGGAAAGATTGGTTCATAAAATAACAGACCTCTGTCCAAGTGCACATCGGATAGTTCCAGAATAGAAGCACTTGAGAGGGGACTCTGGCATAGGACCAGAGAAACTTCATGTCTTTTTTAGAGTAATGTTCTTTTTCTAGCCAAATCCCCAGAAATAGAGGCTGGACCAAATACCTATCTTAGAAGGCTTGCTGCAGGATGCTATAAAAAAGTTATCATCTTCGTCATCATCATCAAAGAGGCCAGAGGGAAGAGCTGGAAGGTGTGGGCTTTTCTCTGTAGTGGGTTGCCCAGACTTTGGGGCCTCCTTCAGAGATGGAGCAGATGATACATCAAACACATCAGCATCTCCTGTGGGTAGAGAAGCAAGACAGCCAAAGTTGTGAGCCAGTTTGGGCTACTAAAGAAAGGGGAGGAAGGGAAGTGGAGAAACAGCCCTCCACCAAAAACTTTTCATTTCAGTTCACCCACAAGGCACATTATCAGGGCCCAATCACCTGCATCTGTTACTGCCACAGAAACTCTCACAATGGAGAATCATCTAGCCATTCCAACATAAAAAGTTCAAGGCCTTATTTCCCGAAGCCTTTCAGCAACGCCTCCCCCCCCACAAAAAACCCTAAACCAGCCTTTAGAAGACAATAATTTTCTAAATAACAAAATACCTATATAGTTTTTCAGAAAAATAACTTCTAAGATAAGATACCTAAAAATACAGAGACAGCTCCTGCTTGGATTTCCTTTCCAGGTTTAGAGACTGAAGGTTGTAAAATGAGAAAAAAGACATAAGCAACTCACAAAGAATATGACTTTTCTTATTAGACCCACCTTTAAAATCCATTGCAAATAAAAGCTTTTTCGTATTGAATTTCCCTAACCAAGCCATTTTAAAATTCCAAATGGTATTCTTTTCTATAGCCATACTGACTCTTTTTCTTAAAAGTAGTAAACATCTAAGCTATGGCTCCCATGGAAGATCACTGACTTTACTCAAACAACAACAAGGCTAAGAAAGGATGTAGAATATGTTTGGGGAGGTGAGAGCAGAATAGAGCATTTTGAAGGCTCTCAAAAATAGTTGTGACTACTCATTGCACTTTGATCCCAACAAGTAAGTAAGGGGAAAAAAAATAGCAAAAAATAAATAAAAAATTGAGACATCATGAAAATACAAAGACCCTAATCGCAAAGAGGGAAACTAGGTGAGTTACTGATGGCAAAACTGCATGGCAGTCAAGTCTGCCAGTACCATCACAAGCATATTGATAAGAAGCTTAGCTTCCAAAGTGGTCTAATATGTGGCCCCAGGATACACAGATTCACTTAAGTCAATTGATTGCCAATTGTCAACTACAAACCTAAAGGAGTAAACTACAGACCTAATGGAATAGGAGTTTTTTTTTTAAAAATTGTGCTGTTAAAAACTTCACATGATTTCAATGCATATCAAATGTTATCAAATGAATTATGTTCCCCGATCCCTCCACCTCCTGAAAGAGATTTGAAGTCCTAATCACTGTACCGATCAATATAATTTATGTAAAAATATAGACTTTTTATTTGTTCTCAGTTAAATTAGAGGAAGTCATACTATGATAGGGTGAGTTCTAATTATCTTTCTGAGCAGTATTTTATAAAAGGAAGTATGGAGAAATAGTCATAAAAAAACCCAAACTCACTGCAATAGAATCCATACTAAATCCTAATGACCCTATAACAGGACCAGGTAGAAATGCTCTTGTGGGTTTCTAAGACTGTAACTTTTTACAGGAGTAGAGAGCCCTGTCTTTTCCACAAGTAGCAGCTGGTGTTTTTGAACTGTGGACTCGGTGGTTAGCAGCCCAACATGTAACCGCACCACCACAAGAGCCTTAAATAGCCATACAGAGGCAGAAAACTGACAGTATTAAGCAGCAAAGAGATGTCAAGAATTACCAGCAGGTCTGAACACCCCACAGAGGGACAAACCAAGAAGAGAACATAACAGATCAGCAATGAGAGAAATCGAAAAAAAAGAATTACCAGGAGTCACCAGGGTGCAGTATAGCAACAATGAAACATACAACTTTCTTCTAATTCTTAAATGCTTCTTCCCCCCACTATTATGATCCCAATTCTATCTTACAAATCTGGCTAGACCAGAGGATGTACACTGGTACAGATAGGAACCAGAAACACAGGACAGATGATCCTTTCAGGACCAGTGGTGAAAGTAGTGATACCAGAGGAACCATAGAAAAGGGGAACCAATTACAAGGATCTAAATATACCTTCCTCCCTGGGGGAAGGACAACAGAAAAGTGGGTGAAGGGAGGGAGACATCAAGACAGTGTAAGACATGACAAAATAATAATAATTTATAAATTATCAAGGGTTCATGAGGCAGGGGGGAGTGTGGAGGGAGGGGGAAAAATGAGGAGCTGATATCAAGGGCTTAAGTGGAGGGCAAATATTTTGAAAATGATGAGGGCAACGAATGTACAAATGTGCTTGACACAATGGATGTATGTATGGACTGTGATAAGAATTGTATGAGCCCCAATAAAATTATTTAAAGGAAAAAAAAAAAGAAAATGTTCTGAAATTGATTATAGTGATGATCAGACAACTCTTCCTAATATGATTGAACTATTAAAATGTATGTGTGAATTATATGCTAATAAAACTATCAAAAGGGGGGGAAAAACTAGCAAAGAAATATGGAAAAAGTCCTCACTCAAAGCCAGGAAAAGAACTGACACAAATGAGACTCTGATTTGGATATCCAGCCTCTATAATGCTAAGAAAATAATTTCTGTTCATCAGCACCACCCATTTTTTATACCAACTGCTCCACAGGAGAAAGATGAAGCTTTCTACTCCTGCAAAGAGTTACAGTCTTAGAAACCCACAGGAGCAGTTCTACCCTGTCCTATAAGATCACCATGAGTCATAATTAACTCAGTGACAGTGAGTTTGTTTTGTGACACCCCTAACAAACTAAAACACCAAGAATGAAGATGTACTGATCTTATTTTTCATTTTGTATGCAGAATTTTATAAATATTTCTTTTAATTAAATTTGATTAAATACAAAATATACTCAACACTACTACAGAATATGTTTCCTGTTAGGCTTTTTTATGAATTCTTACCTGACAAAGAGAAACAACTATGATAATGGTTTGATAGGTGGTATTTTAAAACTTTTTCCAAACACAAATAGGTACAAATCAACTAGTCTTAATTAGATTAAGGGGGCTGGGGTTGTTTCTTGCCTAACAAAGAAACAAACAACTGCAAGTTGTTCCATATCTTAATAGGAAATAGATAGTTCGGAAAAGGTACACACCAAACAGCAGAATCATCCCAACCCATGCTTACCTGTATGAACAATGGTTGAAACTTCTCTGTCCTTAGGAGCTTCCGTGAAGAGATCACCCTGTTAAAATAAAGTGTAAGACAAAGAATTCAAAAGGGCAGGGAAATATATAGCTACGTTTGGGGAATTATAAAGAAAAGTACTCTGGAGAATTAAGGCTACCTATGTACTGTTCTGTCAGAAAATCAGTTCCACGTGTAAATGAGAATCTCAAACAATTTTATTATATCCAGGAGAAAAACCAGGTAGACTAGGAAAGATAAGAAACATCTCCTACTAAAGTAAATTATTAGTACTTCACTTTCTTTTCACACTGAACAAATGACATCAAATTATTTTTTTCTCATTTTGCAATTCTTGGTTCAAAAAGTCCTCAAATGTGTTAAGCAAAAGCAGCCATCATTCCCTCCCCAAAGGAACAAAGAACAATTCTTCTATAAGGCACCTTTGCAGCATATCACTGATTACCATTGACTCACCTCACCTTCCTCCTCATCAAAAAGTCCCTGACTTCTACTGAACAGGCCTCTTCTAGAGGCAAAAGGCAGGAAGTCTTCATCTGTCAGCTGAGGGGGTGTATATAAGTTACTTTCTTCATCTAGGGAAATATAAAACAATGTTGTACAGGTAGAGTTAAATATGGGTTTAGAACTCCAGGTTTGGTCTTTGTAACAACTCCAAATTGACATGCAGTTTATTTAACCATAACTAGCAAGAAATATTTGAGGGTATCCTGCTGAATTTCAAACATACCCACTATAAAGACCCACTAATTCCCACAAAAGGTTCTCTAGACACCTACCCTTAAGTCTAAAAACATCGTGGGTAAGGTAGATACTTCAAGTCATCTCCTGCATCCAGGTTTTTTTTCCCTTTGAGTCAATACATTGAATAATAGAATGTACTGGATCAATAAAATGCATAAAAATCAACATTCTAGGCATGAGTGAGCCGAAATCGTTTAGTAATTGGCCATTTTTAAGCACATGGTTTACTATGCTGGGAATGAAACAATCAAGAGAAATGGCGCTGCATTCATCCTCAGAAAGGCCATTTCAAGATTCCACTTGAAGTACAATGCTGCCTGTGATAGGATGATGTCTATTCACATATATGGAAATCCAACCAATGCAACTATTATTCAACGTTATGCACGAATCACTAAAGCTAGTGATCAGAAATTGAACAATTCTAACAACTTCTACAGTCTGAAATTGGTTAAACATGCCATCAAAATGCATTAATAATTACTAGCAGTTGGAATGTAATGTTTGAAACAAAGAGGAAGAAACAGTAATTGGAAAATATGAACTTGGTGATAGTAATGAAATTGGAGATCGCAAAAATAAAAAACAAACAAGATCGCATGAAAAAATTTTGCAAGACCAACGAACAACTTCTTCATCACAGATACCTTTTTTCCAACAATAAAAAAATACACAGACTTCTCCAGATGGAATACAGAAATCAGATTGACGTCATGGGAAAAAACAGAGAAGCTCAATAGCAGTAGCTAAAGCCAGGCCAAGGCCTGACTGTGGAACAAGCCATCATTACTCATATATAATTTGAAGTTGAAGCTGAAGAAAATTAAAACAAGTCCATGAGAGCCAAATGACAACTTTGAGTGTATCCCATCTGAATTTTGAGACCATTTCAATAACAGTTTTGACAAACTGAGCACTAATGACAGAACGCTTGAACTGTAGGATGATATCAAGAACATCATACATGAAGAAAGCAAAAACCAAAAATGAGGAGCTGATACCAATGGCTCAAGTAGAAAGAAAATGTTTTGATAATGATGGCAACAAATGTACAAATGTGCTTGACACAATGGATGCATGTATAGATTGTGATAAGAGTTATACGAGCCCCCAACAAAATGATTAAAAGAAAGAAAAGAAAGTAAAAACCTGCATGTACAGATTGTGATGAGTTGTATAAGCCCCTAATAAAATGATTAGAAAAAAAACCAAAAGGGAGTAAGAAAAACTAAAAAAAGGAAAAAAAGAAAGCAAAAAACAAAACCAAACTCAATGTCAACTAATAGCAAACCTATAGGGCAGGGCAGAAAAACTAACTCATTGCCTAAGTAGAAAGCCCGATTTTTTTCCCAAGAAGCAGTTGGTGGTTTCAATCTGCTAACCTTGCAGATTGAAGTCCACCACATACCCACTAAGCCATCAAAGATACTCAAAGAAAGCAAACAATCATTAAATAGACAGGTCAGAAAGAAAAGATCAGCAGAGATGTTAAAAGCGATTCTAAAACTTGCTCTTAATTGTACAATAGCTAAGGTACATGGAAGAAATGATAAAGTCATAGAACTGAACAGAAAATTTCAAAGAGCAACTTGAGAAGACAAAATCAAATATTATAATAAAATGTGCAAAGACCTAGAGTTAGAAAACCAAAAAGAAAGAGCCTGCTCAGCACATCTTAAACTGAAAGAACTACAGAAAAAATTCAAGTCTTGATTTGCAATATTGAAAGATTCTATGGGCATAATAAAAGAACATAGAAAAAATACAGAAAAATAACTAGAGTCAACAAACATTTCAAGAGGTAGCATATGAGCAAGAATCAAGAAGAAGGTCAAGCTCCACTGAACACATCAGACTGAAACAAGGCTTCAGGAATTGACGGAATACCAAATGAAATATTTCAACAAGCGGATGAAGCACTGGAAGGGCACACTTGTCTGTGCAAGGAAATTTTGAAGAGTTAGCTGGTCAACTAACTAGAAAAGATCCATATTTGTAGCCATTCCAAAAAACAGGACCCCAAAGAATGCTCAAATTATAGAACATTATCATTAATATCACATGCAAGTAAACTTTTGCTGAAGATTATCCAACAATGATTGCAGCGGTAGATTGACAGAGAGCTGCCAAAAATTCAGTATGTTTTCAGAAGAGGACATGGAGTAAGGGATATCACTGCTGATGTTTTGGCTGCTGGCAGAGAATGCCAGAAAGATGTTCACTTGTGTTTATCAACTATGCTAAGGCATTTGACTGTGTGGACCATAACAAAGTATGGGTAATCTTCAGAAGAATAGGAATTCCAGAACACTTCATTGTGCTCATGTGGAACTTGTACATGGATCAAGAAGCAGTTGTGATAACAGAACAAGGGCATACTACATGGCTGTATCCTCTTACCATACTAATTAAATCTGTATGTTGAACAAATAATCAGAGAAGCTGGATTATATGAAGAAGAATGTAACATCAGGATTGGAGGAACCCTTATTAACAACCTGTGATAAGCAGATGCTTGCTGAAATGAACTTGAAGCACTTGATGATGAAGATCAAGGACTGAATTAGTAGGTAACCTCATGATAAATGGAGAAAAGATTTAAATTGTCAAGGATTTCTTGTTTGAAACCACATTCAATGTGCATGGAAGCAGCAGTCGAATCAAATGACTTATTGCATTGGGGAAATCTGCTGAACAAGACCTGTAATGTGTTGGAAAGGAGGTTACTTTGAGGAATAAGATGTGCCTGACCCAAGTTGTGACACTTTCAATAGGTTCCTATGTATATCAATATTGGACAATGAATAAGGAAGACTGAAAAAGAATCAATGCATTTGAATTGTGGTGGAGGCAAAAAATATTTAAAGGACGACAAACTTCCAAAAAGACAAACAAATCTGTCCTGGAAGAAGTAAGACTAGAATTCTCCTTAGAAGTAAGGATGGTGAAACTGTGTCTTTTATACTTTGGACATGCTGACAGGAGATCAGTCCATGGAGTAGGAGGACATCATGGTTGGTAAAGTAGTAGGAAAATGATAAAGATAGTTAAACAAAGTGGCTGCAGCAATGGGCTCAAGCATAGGAGCAATTGTGAGGATAACACAGAACTGCGTAGTACTTCACACTGTTTTATACAGCATTGATATGCGTCAGAACCAACTCAGTGCTACCTAACAACAACACATGCGGTCACCTGCGATATTCAAAACCCACCTTATAAGAATTTGAGGGCAACTGAAAAGATATCATCAGATTGACACATCAGAAGAGCAAATATGAAGTAATTTATTAGCATAATAGGACAGTGGTAGTTCAGTGGTAGGATTCTTGTCTGTCAGCCAATTTTACTCCATGCATACCTATCTGTTAGTGAAAGTTAGTGTTGTTATGATGTTGAACTTTTTTTTAATAAGTTATTTTATTGGGAGTTCTTATAGCTCTTATAACAATCCATACATCAATTTTATCAAATACATTTGTACATATATTGCCATCATCACTTTCTTTTTTTTTAATTTTATTATTATTTTTAAACTTTTTATTGGGGGCTCATACAACTCTTTTCACAATCCATACATCCATCCATTGTGTCAAGCACATTTGTACACTTGTTGCCATCATCATTCTCAAAACATTCGCTTTCTGCTTAAGCCTTTGGTATCAGCTCTTCATTTTTTCTCCCTCGTTCCCCGCTCCCCACTCTCTCATGGACCCTTGATAATTTATAAATTATTATTATTTTGTCCTATCTTACACTGTCCGATGTCTCCCTTCACTCATTTTTCTGTTGTCCATCCCCCAGGGAGGAGGTTATATGTAGATCCTTGTAATCGGTTCCCCCTTTTCACCCCACCCTTCCTCTACACCATCTTCATTTTCAAAACATTTTCTACTTGAGACCTTAGTATCAGCTCTTTTTCCCCTCCCTTCCCCACCCTCCCACCCTCATGAACCCTTGGTAAATTATAAATTGTTAATTTCATATCTTATACCATTCGCTATCTCCCTTCATCCATGTTTCTGTTGTTCATCCCCCCTATCCGGGGGGTGGGTGGGCGTAATATGTGGATCACTGCAATTGGTTCCCCGCTTCAATCCCTTCTCCCCCCACCTTCTCCCTAACCCTCATGGTATCACTACTCCTATTACTGTTCCTGAAGGGTTTATCTGTCCTGGATTCTGTGTGTTGAGAGCTCTTATCTATACAAGTGTATGTGCTCCAGTCTAGCTGGGTTTGTAAGGTAGAACTGGCATCATGATAGTGTTGGGGGAATAAGCATTAAAGAACTAGAGGATTGTTGTGTTTTGTCAGTACTATGCTGCATCCTGGCTGACTAGTTCCTTCCCTGTGACCCTTCTGTGAGGGGATGTCCAATTGTCTGCCGATGGGATTTGGGTCTCCATTCTGACCCCCATCGTTCACATCGATATAATTGTTTGTTTGGAGGCTGAACATGTTTTGTTTTTTTAATAGTTCAAGGTCTGTTTGTTGACCTGCAGGAGTGTTTTCCAGTCGAGTCTGATGGGGTGCCACGCTCTGGCCCCAAAGTCTATCTTTGGTACTCCCTAGGGACTTCCTTGCTCTACTCCCATTGCTGTTCTGTTGCACGCCCTTAGTGTTTTGTCTCAGTATGCTGGGGTCAGATCGGGCAGAATTCCCACACTATGCCTCCAGTGTTGTCCCCTGTAGGGCTATGGGTCAATGAGAGATGTCTTGTCTCATAGTGGGGCCGGCCACATGGTCTTCTCTGTGGATTGGCTGCTCTGAGGGGGTATACCGTCTTCAAGGCTTGCTGGGCCAGGATGTGCTCCACTCTCTCTTCCTCCCCTAGAACATGTTTTTTAAAGAGCGTCTAAAACAAGACACACTAGGAAGAAAAGACCTCAGCCAACTAAAACACTATGGATCACAATGGTCACATATGGATAGCATGGAACTGGGCAGCAACTGGTTTCATTGTATTGGGTTGTCATGAGTTGATCACTAACAGTAACTAGTTTAATAGGAAAGAACATAGTATACTTTATTGAAAAATGCCAGCAATCCCTAGATAACTTCTAGAGAATTCTAGAAAGACAGGTAATAATCTCCATAAAATTTAATAATTCAGATCTTTACAGGCATTTTCATTCCACATCCTCCTCCTCTCAGCTGCCCTAGAACCTGCTTTTAGCTACTCTGTAAAAGTGGAGGGGAGCTGATATCAAGAGCTCAAGTGGGAAGAGAATGCTTTGAAAATGATGGCAGCATATGTGTAAATGTGCTTTACACACTATAAATGTATAGATTGTGATAAAAGATGTAAGAGTCCCCAATAAAAATATTTTTTAAATCATATGATAATATATCTACATATTTATGTATGTGTGGTGGGATTAAAACAGAATAAAATTCTGGGGGGGAAAAAACAGAATGAAAAGAGGCTTCATTTGTCAGTACTCAAAGGGGAAATTAAGAAAGCAACATTTCCGAATTAAGAGTTTCAAAAAACCAAGGAAACTAAGAAAAAAAGGCCTACCATCTGAAGCAGCCGTCCTCTCCTTCTCTTTCAATATCTTCCAGGCCTTTGAGTCTCCTGAAGATAAGGACAAGTGATATTTCTCAGATGTAACAATATTTCATCCACTCGAATCTATGTATTTTTTACACGTTTGTTTGTCACCCTCATTACTCAGAGGCTGAGAGTAAGGTCTTCACCCTTGAATTTCAGCATCACATGAATCACTCAGTGCTTTATATCTAATAGGCATTCAAAAGCACATTGTTCCAAGTCAGCAGGCTTCACCTTAAATACCAGTCACATGGACAAAAGGAAAGACTATACTTACTGAGAAAGTTAAGTTTTTTCCACCTTGTTAACTAAGTAGAATATACTTTATAACACAACTTTTTTAAACTTGAAAACATAAGACAAAGTGAGCATTAAGTTTTGGATTTTTTTTCTTTTTAAGTTTTTGATTCTTAATCTAGGGCTCAAACTTCAAGGGATATTCATTACCCTCCTTTATTTTTTTATCTATTTATTTTGTTGCTGTTTGTTTCTATCTCCATTAATCTCCTTTAGATGCATATTAAAAGTTATTTACATATGGACCTGTGCTTTTTTCTTGATGGCTACAGTATTATTACCAAAAGGTGTCTGCAAAATAAAAAGGGAGCACTAGTTCATGACTTTCTTGTGTCTTTATCATTAAAATGAGAAACATGCCTTCAATGAAGCCTAGAAGAGGGTTATGTATTCTCACTAACTATCGCCTCCATTGAAGTCTTCGCTGAGACTTACTTGTTTGGCTTTCACCTATTTGGATGGTTGAATCTCCTTTGATTCGCGCTGCTAATTCATCAGCAAATGATGTCGGTCTACTTCTTTTCTATGGGAAGAAGCAATTAAAAGAATCATTGTTTTGAAAGTATACACAAAAGCCCACTTTACTTTTGAACACCTATTAAAATTATAAGAAAAATTGCAAAGAAACTAAACTGATGAGAAAATAGTTTACTTAAGAGAACTGTCTCAATCTCTTGAGAAATGGGACTCGTAAAATCTTCCTACAAAAGAGATGCTCTCTATATCCATATTTCTTTAAGACTTCACATTGACAATTAAACTAAAAAAATGCTTTAGTATAAAATGTATCAGGGAGAGAGGGAAGAAGAGAGACCATCAAGACCTTAGAACTTTTGAAATGATTATATTCTGAATTATCTCAATGGTAAAATAGTAACATTTGGAGAAAAATTTAGTACTAGTAAATTTTTTTCATGGGCTCATCACTACTCAAAAGCAACTGTAATCTTTCTTACAGGTCTAGTATTTTGTTCAAAGTCCTCAGTATCTTCCTCCTCCTTCTCTGAGTCAGCAAAAATGTCACAACCATCATCATCCTCTTCTTCCTCACTCAGGTGTGCTGTGTGCTAAGGGTACGAATCATCAGATTAAACTATTAGCAACAGTCATCAAGCTGAAAAAGAGACACTATTACAGATATCAAGGATAAATACATGATACCCTGTCCCTACACAAATAACATTTCTATGATTACAGATATATTCATAAAACCTAAAATAGACCTGGAAATATACACTCTCAGAGCTAACACGTTAGCTAGCTGACAAAAGTATGAAAAGAGGGATGAAGTCTGAGATTGCATAGAATTTTGCAAGATCAACAATTTCATATAGCAAATCTATTTTCAACCACAAACGATGACATACACATGGACTCCTTCAGATGGAATACACAGAAATCAAAGTGGCTACATTTGTAGGAAGAGACCATGGAAAAACTCAGTATCAGCAGCTAAAACAAGGTCAGGGGTTGACTGTAGACAGACCTTCAATTGTTACATGTAAGTTCAGGTTGAAGCTGAAGAAAAATAATTTTCTTAGTTTTGACAAGAGTCAAAATATAACCTAGAGTATATCACACCAAAATTTCAAGAACAGATTTGATGTATTCTACATTAATGACAGAAGACCTGACAAGCTGTAAAATGTTATCATGTTAACATGAAGAAAACAAAAGATCATTAAAAAGGGAGGACACAAAGAAAAGAATCAAAGATGTCAAAAGAGATTCTAAAACTTGCTCTTAATTGTAGAATAGATAAGGCAAATGGATGAAATGATGAAATAAAGTGGCGAAGTAAAGAGCTAAACAGAAAAGTTCAAAGGGCAGCCTGAGAAGACAAAGTAAAGTTTATAGTAAAATGTGCAAAGACCTAGAGTTAGAAAACGAAATGGGTCTACACAATCCATTGTCATGGAATGGTTTGCTAATGAAAATAATATATAGCAATAGCATTAATAATACAAAAGATGATACATGGCATAGTTCAGTCAATACAGTTCATTAAAGTTTCCTATGATTTAAAAATACAAACAAACAAAAAAAAGAAAATGAGATGGGAAGAACATGCTCACCATATCTGACACTGAATGAAATTTTTAAAAATTCAAGCCTCAAGCGTCAATACTGAAAGATTCTATAAGCACAAGACCTCTTTAAAGTGCTGAAAAGCATGGAAATTACTTTTAGGACTAAAGTGTGCCTTACCCAAGCCATGATATTTTAAGTCATCTCACATGCATCTGAAAGTTGAACATTTAATAAAAAAGACCAAAGAATTAATGCATTTGAATCAGGTGCTGGCAAAGAATACTGAGAGGATCATGAACTGCCAAAAGAACAAACAAATCTGTCTTGGAAAAGTACAGCTAGAATGCTCCTTAAAGGGAAGGATGCTAAGATCTGGTCTCATGTACTTTGGATATGTCAGGCGGTGGCATCATGCTCTGTAAAGTACAGGGCAACAAAAAAGAGGAAGAGCTTCAACAAGATGGATTGACACAACGGCTGTGTTGATGGACTCACATTTATGAACAATTGTGAGGATGGTACAGGACCAGGCAGTGCGCCCCTCTGTTGTAAATAGGGTCTCTATGAGTTGGAGTTGACTGGACAGAACTTAACAATAACCACAATGGGCAAAATATTGAACGATGCAGGAGGCATCAACAGACAACAGGGGGGAAAAGTCAATGGAAAGAATAGAGTCACTGTACCTAAAAGAACAAGTCAACATTCAACTATCCCACGAGGTGGCATAGGGGCAATAACCAATGGTAGTGAAGGAGGAAGTATATGATGTACTGAAGGCATTAGTCAAAAACTAGGCTCCAGGAATTGATAGAACATCAACTGAAATATTCCAACAGGCTAATGAAGTACTAGAAGCATTCACTACTCTATGCTAAGAAATTTGGAAGACAATTACTAGGCCAATTGACTGGATAAGATCCATATTTGTACCATTCCAAAGAAAGGTCACCAATAGTATATGCAAATTATAGAATAGCATTGAAATCAGAAAGAAGTAATATTTTGCTGAAGATCATCCAACATCAGTTGCAGTAGTACACTGAAAGGAAGTTGCTGGAAATTCAGTTCAGGTTCAGAATAGGATATGGAATAAGGGATATCATTACTGATGTCAGATGAAGCTTGGATGAAAGCAGAAAATACCAAAAAGATGTCTAATTGTTTTATTGACTATGCTAAGACCTTCAACTCTGAATCAGAATAAACTATAGACCGCCTTGAAAAGAATAGGAATACCAGAGCATTTCACTGTGCTCATGATGACTCTGTCTGTACATGGCAGTTGTGTAAGCAAAACAAAAATACTGCTTGGCTTAAAAACCAGGAAAGGCATGCATCAGGGTTGTATCCTCTCCTTATACCGGTACTTATTCCATCTGTATGCTGAGAAAATAATCAAAGAAGCTAGATTATATGCAGAAAAATGTGGCATCAGGATTGGATACAATACACAATGACACATCAACCTGTGATGTGCTTGCTGAAAGTGAAGCACTTGCTTGAAGCACGTGCTGATGAAGATCAAGGACCACAGCCTTAAGTAGGGATTACACCTCAATGTAAAGACAACCAGAATTTCTCATAAATGTATAAATGGAGAAGAGATTGAAGTTGTCATAGAAGCAGCAGTCATGAATATAAATGACTCATTGCCTTGAGTAAAAGTGCTCCACAAGACCTCTCTAAAGTGTTGAAAAGCAAGGGTGCTTCTTTGAGGACTAAGGTATGCCTGACCCAAGCCGTAGTATTTTCAGTCACCTCATATACACGTGAAAATTAGATACTGAATAAAAAAGACTAAAGAAGAATTGATGTATTTGAATTATGGTGCTGGCAAAGAACCATGGACTAACTGGCAGAAAAAAAAATACTAATGTTGTAAAAGTCCAGCTAGAATGCTCCTTAGAAACAAGGATGAGGTGCAGTGAGGTGTAGTGGCTGACTGCTAGATCATGCTGAGTGGAGCACATCAGCACTGCGGAGGGCATACACACTGCTGTCCCCATCTACCCCAAGTGGTTGTCCACTTTGGTGAACCAGACCAAGACAGGTGTGGCTCCCTGCCTGGAATCTGGTGTTGCTGGAGTTCTTGGTGTGCCCACTCTCCAAGAAGCCTCTCAGATATGAAGCATCAACAAATAAATTAATGAATAGTTGGGGATAGACTATCCAATCATCGATGGCATTCCTAATGATATCACAAGCAGCTGCCATGACACATCAAAAGAAGAAAGAAGTGCAGCAGGACTGAACCATAATTTTTTAAAAGCCCAAAGAGCTAAATCCTCTTAATATCATTTACCATTAAAAAGTGTTTTTTTTTTCACTTACCTTTTTTAAGAGTAAATGTGGTGGGTAATAAGTGGGGAAGATGAACATTTGTCTCTTCCTATATTGACTGTCTTATCCAACTGGTTTCCCTAGCAAGACTGTTCTCCTCTGCCTCTGTAGAAGAAAATGTTCCCGAGGACTGCACGAGTACAAGCAGCTTATGTTTTCCTGTCTGCTCTTGCGAATTACCATACAGTTCATGTGTTCCAGCATCTTTGGACTTGGATGGGTATTAATGTCTTCAGGTATAATCAATGCAACCAGAGTCTATATAATAATATGTTTGGGGCCTCTTTGTTCGAAAGTTCACCTAGATTGAAAACTCACATCTTATTTGGTTTGCAGGAAGGTAATTTGCCTATTTTCTGTCAGAAGCTTAGGACTATAAAAGACTTAAGCTACAGCTGCTTTGATTGTCCTCTTGTACTGCTCTTGTTTTTGAAGGATCTTACACCAATTTTTAACAAATGTATCAGAAAAAATATTTTTGACGTGTTTTGGAGATTAATATCCCTGATCAGATGATGGAACTCTACTTTTTATCCTACACATTTTAACAATTAATATTTTTTTCTTTTAATAATTAATCTTTTGAAATGTGATTGTTTGTTTGGATTCAACCTCATTAGGCAAATCACATGCTAGGAATGACTGAAAGGACCCAAAGGAAACTGTGTTAGAGTAGCTGTAGAGAAACGTAGTTGAACTAATGTGATAGCCAACCTTAAAGTGAAAATTACATATACTTGCAAAAGTCTTAGTAAACAAGCGGCCACCTAGCTCAGAAGCAACAAAGCCCACATGGAAGAAGCACACCAGCCTGTGTGATCACGAGATGCCGAAGGGATCAGTTATCAGGCATCAAAGAACAAAAAATCATATCATTGTGTGCTCACCTTCCTGATATGATCATTGAAGACAAATTGGTGCATAAGCAAATGTGGCGAAGAAAGCGGATGGTGCCCGGCTATCAAAAGATATAGTGTGTCTGGGGGTCTTAAAGGCTTGAAGGTAAGCAAGCGGTCATCTAGCTCAGAATCAACAAAGCCCACTTGGAAGAAGCACACCAGCCCGTGTGATCACGAGGTGTCTAAGGGATCAGGTATCAGGCATCATCAGAACAAAAATTCTTACCATAGTGAATGGGGGGAGCAGGGAGTTATGGAGTGGAGACCCAAAGCCCATTTGTAGGCCACTGGACATCATCCCCTTACAGAAGGGTCTCGGGGAGAAGACGAGGCAGTCAGGGTTTGATGTAGCAACGATAGAAAATACAACTTTCCTCTAGTTCCTAAATGCTTCCTCCCCACCATCATGATCCGAATTCTACCTTGAAAGTCTGGCTAGACCAGAGGACGTACACTGGTACAGATAAGAACTGGAAACACAGGGAATCCAGGAGGGATGATCCCTTCAGTGGCGATACTGGGAGGGTAGAGGAAGGGTGGGTTGAAAAGGGGGAACCGATTACAAGGGTCTACATGTGACCTCCTCCCTGGGGGACAGACAACAGAAAAGTGGGTGAAGGGAGACATCGGACAGGGTAAGATATGACAAAATAATAATTTATAAATTATTAAGGGTTCATGCGGGAGGGGTGAACAGGGAGAGGGGAAAAAATGAGGACCTGATGCTAGGGGCTTAAGTGGTGAGCAAATGTTTTGAAACTAATGAGGCCAATGAATGTACAAATGTGCTTTACACAATTGATGTATGTATGGATGGTGATGAGTTGTATGAGCCCCTAATAAAATGATTTAAAAAAAAAAAGTTGGTTTGTGAGACTTCACATTTTGTATTTGACTTTCTACACTCCTCCTAAATCAGGATAACTATTTCCCAGACAAAGAAGAGAAACAATAACAATATTTGCTATTAACAATTAGGAAGAGCTGCAGCAATGGCTAAAAAAAAGGAGTCTGCTAATTCTGTTAACATGAATTATTTAGGAAATATTTGTTGTTGGTAGACTCCACTGAAGCGGTTCTGACCCACAGGGACCCTGTACACAACAGACTGAAACACTGTCCTGTCCTGTGGCAGTTACATAATTTCATGTTAACTTGAAGATATATAAAAGTGTAGGGATGGTATGCAAACTGTCAGGTCACAGCCTGATAGTACCTCCTTGTGGGTGTGGCATTCTCATAACCACCACCCAGGGACCCTATCCCCCTCTCTATGCCTTGACCTTCCTGCTTGCTGACCCAGAGAGCAGCTGGAGTCCTGCCATATTTCCCCTGACCTAGGATTCACACAACTTTGCACACACCGGCCTGTGATCTTCCTGCATTCTGCATCATTACATGTGGCTGCATGAGTGTGAAGAGGCAATTATGGACTTGTATCGGACTTATGGATGTGAGTTGGACTGGGCTGGGATGCTTTCTTGATACATACTTTTTGTTATAAAGCTCTTTCTCACACATATATGTGTCACTGGATGTTTTATCTAGTCAATCTGGCCTAACAAATGTTCCATCCTCACAATTGTTCCTATGCTTGAGCCCATTGTTCTAGCCACTGTGTTAATCCATCTTACTGGCCTTCCTCTTTTTCTCTGTCTCTCTACTTTACCAAGCATGATGTCCTTTTCCTGGGACTCTTCTCTCCTGACAACATAACTAAAGCATGTAAGAAAAACTCTTGCCATCCTTGCCTCTAAGAAGTAGTGTGGCCATACTTCTTCTAAGACAGATTTGTTTGCCCTTTTGCCAGTCTGCGGGAGTTTCAATATTCTTTACCAAAACCACAAATCAAATACGTTGCTTCTTTTTCGCTGTTCCTTATTAAAAGTCTAACTTTCACATGCATATGAGGCACTGGAAAATACTATAGTTTGGGTCAGACCCACTGTAGTGCTCACCTACAGCTTTTCAACACTTTAGAGAGGTCTTATGTAGCAGATTTGCTCAGTGAAATGAGTCATTTGATCTCTTGACTGCTGCTTCCATGAGCACTGATTATGGATCCATGCAAGACTTGAAAAACTCCAATCTTTTCTCCATTTATCATGATGTTACTTACTGGTCCAGTTGTGGGGAATTTTGGTCTTCTTTACATTGAGCTGTTATTTACACTGAAGGCCGCAGTCCTTGATCCTCCTCAGCAAGTACTTCAAGTCCCATTCACTTTCAGCAAGCACGTCCCAGGTTGGTATGTCATCGCATAGCACAAGTTGTTAATAAACCTTCCTTCGATCCTAATGCTGAATTCTTCTTCATAAAAGCCAGATTCACATGTCTGCCAGTTGCTGTACTGACTGCCATCCTGATGGCGGGAGTGTTGCTGTGGCGCTGGCAGATATGTCAGATATCTCAAATGCCAGCAGGGTCATCCAAAGTGACCAAGTTTCAGGGGAACTTACACACTAATAACAGACTACGAACGAGGAATTGGCTACCCACTTCAGGAAATAGCCACTGTAAACCTCATCATAGGAAATATTTATCTTCTACTAATGGGCTTTTTGTTTAAAAGGACAATGAAAAGACAGACAAGGAAGAGGGTTCCAGAGTAAAGACAAGATTCAAAAAGAGAAACTGTCTCGTTTTAGAAATCTCATACTCAAGTACTTATTTTAAGTGCATCTGCTTTTCAATTATGAACATTCCTTCTAAATTAGTCCAGCTACAGCTGGGGTCAAGGTCCTCAGACACCAAGACCAAGAATAGTAAGATTAGCTCTGTAGATATGAAGGTGCTAAATGTAGCAGCAGCACAGCTAGAATAACTTTCACCATCCTTCTGGTCTAAAATGTTTTATAGTAAAATATTTTGATGTGGGTTTTATTCCACCTAGAATTATTCAAAGACAGAACTTACTCACAAAACTCTATCTCAAGCAGAAATCCACCAAAATATCGAGACTATTCCCTCAAAAAAATACTGGGGAGTGAGTGGAGGGGGAAGAATTTGGTGATGAGGTGGGACGGAGGGCACAGTGAAAAGAACTTAAAAGTAATTTTCCTTGTTTGTTGTTTTCAGAAAGTAAAGAAAATCTAAACCCAAGGGGGAAAAAATCTTCAGGATCTTGTCACTGTGAAATAATTCATTAAAAAGGTCACTAATTCATAAATATATGAGAGGGCTTCTAAAAGTTTGTGGGAAAATTCCATTTTCTTTTCATTCTATTTTTTCAAGAAACACTGTCATTTTCTTTACATAGTCTATGAAGCACATCCTTAGTTCCTTGTCCACCATGGACAGCCTTGTCAGACCAAATAGTCCTTACCTCTTCTTCATTCTCTTCTTCACTGTCCACAAAACTGCCATGATCACTGCCCACAGAACCTTCTGTTTAGAAGAGAGATAAACTTTATCACCAAGATCATATACCACTATATTATCACTGTGATTTTTTTAATAACCACAAAAATTTTGATGAAATGATCTATACTCACTATCTAGAATTAGAAACACCTGTCCTAAGGTGAGGAACAGGGTATTTACAAAGTCTCAATCTATCTCCCCACGTGATACTTAGTAATTACAAAGAAAAAATAGTACCTTAACAGGAGAACCCAAGAAGATGCCACCTTGACCAAGAGGTCAAAGTGGTCAACAACAAGAGAAAATTGATTTGCCATGCCTTTCCAGGGGGATATCTGAGAACGAACCTTATGATTTATGAAGAATTTGGAACAAAAATGCATAATCTCAAGACAATTTGGAGGAAATCCAAACAAATACAAATGAAAGCAAATTCTACAAAATAACTCCTTGCACTGTACTCTTCAAAAGTCTATGATAACGAAAAGCAAAAGAAGACATACTGTCTCTCCAGAAAAAAATATCATGACTATACATAAAGAAAGAAAGAGAATGATGAACCAATATGGTGAATGTTAACTGAGAATTAGGCTGATGGATATTTAAGAGTTCTTGGTACTATTCCTTAAATTATCTTAAAATAAAGATACAAATGTTAAAACTAACACAAATACTTGTTTCAAAATATTCTGAGGCTATTGTTCAGCTGTGACCCCCAACCCTTTGTACCTTTATAAACACAAAATATTCCCCTAGCTCAGAGTCCTTTTCACCTCACGAGAGGAGTACCCGCTTCACCTTTTGAAGTATCTCTACTCTCTGCTTGAATAAAATTTTTGAATGAAAATAAATGAGTACCTTCACTAGACAGCTCTCCAAGACCTATATCTTCCTGCTCCATGAACAGCTTTGATCCAATTAAATAAGGTAAGGGGCGATCAATGTACAGATCCTATAAAAAAAAAAGTCATTATAGAAGTTAATGATGGACAGAAGAGGAATTTCTGTCTGCTAAGGAAATGAACAATAAACCCTGAGGAGAAAGACCTGGTAAACATCTTAACCTTGAGGTCAGTCCCTAGTGAACACCTGGTAAGCATCCTGACACATCCTGAGCATCTCATCTGGTAGCTTGAGATAATTTTGAAAGAAAACAGGCACAAGACCCAAGGATAGACTGGGCAACTAATTAGAGAGCTGCTTGACCATCTGCAGAGCTGCAACCCCCACCCACTCTGCCTTAAAAAACATAAAACATTACCCTAGCTCTGAGTCCTTCTCATCTTGTGAGGGGGGACCTGCTTCACCTTTTGAAGTATCTTTATCCTATGCTTAAATAAAACATTTGCTTACTTCATTGCTGTGGTTGGGGCGGGGTGGGGTGGGGTGGTGTGTGGGGGTGTGTGTGTGTGTGTGTGTGTGTGTGACTTCTGATGCTATACATGTCACTTGGGTGGAAATTGCTAGTACTCTCGATGATGACCAACCTGATGTGAGCATTAAGACTTGGCATTCCTCAGCAAGACAGAATGCTATAATTAAAAGATAAAAGTGTTTCACTTGACCACTTACGCCACCTGACTACTCCAAACAAGTTACGTAACCATAGTGGACAATAAGAAACTGCAATTCTAAAAGTAAAAAAGGAGGAGAAATACCACTAATGTAAACAGTAAAAGAGAGGTACACTGGTAGATCTACATACATATATTACCCACACGCTCTAAAACAAAGACCTAAGAAAACAAATGAAACAGATATAAATGGCAAACCTGGAGCACAGCACCTCAAAGAAAAGAATAAAGAAGGGGATCAAATACCAATTAAGGAAGAGACTGATGAAAAAACAGGAAATACGGAAGTATATGATGTGATGAATTGCCAACTGGCCCAGCACAGAGAGGCAACTTTGAATTATTTCATCAAGTATCAATCAGGACAAAAATCAAACAACTAGCTCCCGTTCACCCAGGATTGCAGCTGTACCCACAACTATGACAAGGAGCAAGAGAAGTGCAATCTCCCTTTACCCAACACAATCTCCCGATGATGAGGGGTGCACTCCACTCTCTCTCAACTCAACCCTATGAATAATCAACACCTCCCACCCCACATTACCAGTACTGTGTCATTGTTTTTTATCCTATTAGTAAGATTTTCCCTCTTTGCTACTTTTATTTTACTTTCCTTTTTCTATTTCCTCTCCAACCCTCACTTTTTAAAATTCTGAGGTATGTGTATACCATTCCCCCACCAATTTGGCAGTGCCCAAGATTTGTTGACTAGTACTGTGGCTAGTACAGTCCTTTCATTTATTTATTTAATTATATAGGTATCTCTCTTATTTCTTATCTCTCTTCCTCCAGTTCCTTTCTTTCTGCATTTTTTTGCTTCCTTTTCCCCCTCCCCCTTTTTAATTTTATTCTTCATTCCCTCTAGCAGATCAACCATTACATTCCCGCTATAGCTATGTTAGCCCAGTATTGTTATTGGTGTGTCGTTGTTTTGTTAGTTATCATTCCTTTTCCATACCACCTGAAAATCAACTGTCTCAACATTATCCAGGTTCCCCTGTACCTTCAACAACAACTACTAGTGGACAAATGATACTACAAACTCTATTAGCACTAAATTAACAAAAAAGAAAAAATAATAAGCATGCGCCTAGATTTTTGGGTTGTGTAAACCTTCTCCTTTTTAGCAAGCACTTTCAGGGAAAGAGATACACAATTTTTTGAGCCCTCTACCCAGAGGGCGCAAAAAAAAATTATAGTAATAATAAGCAAAACAATTACTGGAGACAACAGTCAATTTATGTTCACACAAAGAAGCAAAACAGAATGATACAGATTAGTAGCTAAGACATAGGGTCAAAGGATATGTTTGAGGACGAAAAGGCATTGGAACAACCAGAAAAAGAATTCAGAAGAATAAGGTTCGGTACTTTAAACTGATGGAGAAAAGATCCAGAGAATTATGAAGTAAACAATAAGAACTCAGGAACTTATTGCTCACTATAAGAGCAATCTAACAAAACAAACGAAAAATTACAAACTATAAAAAAACTACAGCAGAATTCCAGAAGATCAGTACTAATATATAGAAATTAGACAACACTTTGATAGAACAAAGCAAGATAACTAACATAACGGAAGGTAGATTAGGGAGCCAAAAGACAAATCTCCTCTCCTTATCAATTTATGAGAGGACAATAAAAAGGGCCACCAAAAAAATACAAATTCTAGGAATTATGTGGAATACTATCAAGAAAAATAACTTACACATCACTGACATTCTACAACAGGCAGAAACAAAAAAGAAATCCTGGAGGAAATGATTCACCAAGAACTGCTGGAATAAAACCTTCCTATGCCATAAAGAGGAGAAAGTAATCACACGAAAAGCTGAAGGGACCCCCAAAAGGATAGCCCTCAAAAGAAAATCATCACATTCTATCAGAGTAAAACTTTCCAATATCACAGACAAGGAAAGAATCCTGAGAGGAGCACAGGAAAAAAGGAAAGTTATTGTAAAGGGGAACCAATAGAATATGCTCAGGTTTTTCAACAGAACCGTGCAAGCAAAACCAGTTTTTTCAAAGAATTAACAAAATTGACAAACCACTCACAAATCCAACAAAGAGTGTGCAAGGATGGATATGCAGACCAACAGAGTAGAAATGCTTCAGATTTATAAATTTTTATAAAGAAGCTGCTGTGTTTAAACCAAGCACCTTTCGATAATAGGCCAAACTTTGACCTAATGTGGCAAAAGAGCTAAAAAAAAAAAAGGTGTAAAAATTCTCAACAATATCCCAGCCAATAAAACTCAACATTAAAAATATATATATCAACAATAAGTAGGACAGTGGGTGAAGGGCACATGAAAACTCTCCACTATTTTCACAACCTGTAATTCTAAATTCTTTCAAAATAAAAAAAAATCCTTTATAAAAGTTAAATGAATTAAAAAAAAAGTTAAAAAAGTTAAATCATGGTTGACTTCTGAATAAATTGTCTTTCCACTATAATTTAAATGAATGCTTTCCCAGAGTATCAGCTGAAACACATTATGATTTGGGATAAAACAACAGAAAGGTATGTTTTCTTGGTTTACTAAAGAGGTATGGCAGAGCTCTGACAGCAATAGTGGTTAAGCATGTGGCTGCTGGTGGTTTTGAACTGCCGACCATGAGGATCGTACCAACAAGTAACCACTAGACCACTAGGGCTTCCATATAGTATTAAATACATGTATAGTGCAGTGCACCCATATCAGGCCCTTCTGAAGAGGCCACACACATATCCAGAACCTCTTGGCAATTCCTCATTTCAAAAACTAAAGTTTCAAGTTCCCAAAAATCTCTATGTCTTATAGGCTTCACCATCCTTAAAACCCAAATCAAGTCTCTTCTTCCTAGTCGTAGCCCTGATGGTGTCATGGTTATGAGTTGGGCTGCTCCCCAAAATAGTTACTGTCTCAGAAACCCACAGAGGGTTCACTATAAGCCAGCACGGACTTGAATGCAATGAGTCTGGTTTTGGGTTCTTCTTCCTAATCTCCCAGCCAGAAGTCAATTCCCTCTGAGTACCAATGGTTATTCAACTAAGTGTCCTACCACACTGTAATAAGCATCTTGACAGAAGGAACTGTGACTTGCAGCTAGTAAGTGTTCAATGAATGCTTAAGTAAAACTAGTGCTTCCGCTATTAGATGTGCTTATTTCCTAGAGGAAAAGCCCAATTAAATATTCAAATCATAATACACAACAGTAAGTGTTTACCTTTGGTTCAAGGATCAGTTCTACCCGCTCATTAGCATCTTCTTCTTCAGAGTCTGAGTTTCCTGCTTTGATATCAAGCTGCTCAAAGGCACTGTCTAACACTTGCAAACCATAATTCACAGCCTCCTGGACCTTAGGGATCAGATCTACTTCTTTCTGCTCCCGGGTTTTCTCCTAAAAAAAAAAATTAGTATGGACTTTCAGTATAGTTTTTATTCTTGAAAAACGTACCCTCTCATTCTCCCAAAATTTTAACTATGAATATAAACAACAGTTAAGATTCTGCTGAATGCCTTAGCACAGACTTTAATTTCAAGTAAGAAGGAAGTTTTAAATCCCAGTTTGCCACTTTCTAGAAATGCTTCAGACTACATAAGCTTCTGGAGCTTTAAGTTCATCATCTATAAAACCAAAAGTTCTGCTATTGTATGACTGTGGTGGAGTAAAATTGCTTAAGCATAGCTCTTCAATTCATGTTTCTACCTGCCAGTAAATGAATGGGTAAGGCCATACAACTAAAGTAACATTGACAAATAAAGCAATCCTGACTAATCTCAACCCTACAGGCCAAGTAGAACTGTCACTGTGGACTTCAAGGCTATAAATCTATGGGAGCAGAAAGCTTTATCTTTCTCCCATGTAGTGGATAGTAGTTTCGAACTTTAGATCATGCAGTTAGCAGTCCAGTGTATAAACCACTATACCACCAGGGCTCCATCAAATAAGGTACAGAAACTCTAACTTAAGGATTGGTCATTTTCACCATTTCTCTGTATATCTCAGAAAACAAGCAAAGGAAGAATCCCAGGATCACCAAGAAAGAAGAATCAACATTGGGGTGCTGGTGGTGGTGAGATTCCAGTCTGAATGATGGAGGCAGCAAAAGCCACAGCCCTGATACCAGACACCATGAGACTATGAGGCAGAGCATCAGGAGGGATTGTCCAGGCGGAGGCAAAGGTTAACAGACCACATGACTGAGAAGCTGAGGAGTAGACAGATTTGGCAGCTGGCGGAGAAATGCTGCTGTATACCAGAGACTGTAGCCTGAATATTTTTCTGATCCTAAAATGGGGTAACCAGTTAACCTCCTTACTAAGCCCCCATAATTATGAGTTCCATATAACCATTGCAACAGACTAGCAAATACAGCAAAAAAGAATGCCTTGGGAGGAATGTTGGCATAAGAATTGAGAAAAAGGATGAAGGATAGGAGGCATGTCTAACCTCTGACTTTTGGCAATCTGCCCTGAGATAGTGTTGGGACAGTGAGCATCATGGAATGCCAGTTTAATAGAACAAAGTGTTCTTGCATTGTGGGGGTACTTGAGTGGAGGCCCAATGTCCACCTGCTACCTTAATACTAAACCAAAAATACATGCACATAGATCTATTTCCCCATCCTCATATATAAATATATTTACATATGTACATGCCTATATTTAAACCTCTATAAATGTCCTTTGCCTCCTAGTTCTTTCCTCTATTTCCTTTTATTTTCCTCTTGTCCCACTACCATGATCAACCTTCATGCGGGTTTCAGTAATTCCTCTCGATTACATTGCCCTTGATCAAGTCCTACCAGGCCTCTTACACCCTCCTCGCCACCGATTTTGGATCACTTGTTCCCTTGTCACTGGCTTTTTTAACACCCAATTCCTTTTCCCTGCCTCCCCATTTCCCATGTCCCCCAAGAACCTTTGGTCCCGTTGTTTTCTGATCCAGATTGTTTATCCCACCTATCTTATCTAGATAAACCTGAAGAGATAATATGCACAAAAACAAGACAGAGCAAAACAAAGCAACAACAAAAAACCAAAAGCCTATAAATAGTTTAAGGTCTGTTTGTTAACCTTTAAGAGTGTTTTCTGATTGAGTCTGATGGGGTGCCAAGCCCTGGCCCCAAAGTCTATTTTTGGTGCACCTTCGGGACTTTGTTGCTCTGTTCCCCTTGCTGGTCTGTTGCACGCCCTTAGTGTTTTGCCTCAGTGTGGTGGGGTCAGATCGGCTACAATTCCCAAACTGTGTCTCCAGTATTGTCCCCTGTAGGACTATGGGTCAATGAGAGATGTTGTGTCTTGTAGTGGGGCTGGCCATATAGTCTTCTCTGTGCATTGGCTGCTCTGAACAGGGATATTGTCCTCAAGGCTTGGTGGGCGAGTATGTTCTCTACTCTCTCTTACTCTCCCCTTCATTTGCTCTCCTGTGCTCTGATCACACATGTCCCTCTCCCTGAGCTTAGCTTCAGTGCTGTCCTCTAAAACACACTTTTCTTGGGGATGGGGGCTGTACTATTGTTATAAATGCAAAATGTCAGACAGTAAGATAGTCAATATGTGAGGAGAAAGTATAGAAGGTAACAAACAAAAAGGTAATGCTAAAGGGAAAAAACCAACACATATTTTATTCTTTCACATCAAGTATTAAAAGTATTTCTAATTTAACTTTTTTTAAGACACATTGCATTTATTTTCAACTATGGTATGTTTGTTTGTGCTAAATAACTAATATTGCATTAAGTCTATAAAGTTATGTCAAACATATAATGGCTTTTTAAAAAATGCCAAGAGGTCTGAGGGGCCAGTCCCAATCCAAACCATGTGGACAGCAGCCCCTGCCCCCAAAATAATTTATTTCAAAGGACAGCACTGAAGCTGCTGCTCAGGGAGAGGGACATGTCTGATCAGAACACATGGGAGCAAATGAAGGGAGAGAAAGAGAGAGTGGAACACACCCTGGCCCACCAAGCCTTGATGACGAAATTCCCACTCAGAGCAGCCAATCCACAGAGAAGACCATATGTCAGCCCCACTATGAGACACGACTTCCCTCACTGACCCGTAATTCTACAGGGGAACAACACTGGATACACAGTGTGGGAACTGCACCCCATCTGACCGCACCACACCGAGGCAAAACACTAAGGGCATGCAACAGAATAGCAAGGGGAACAGAGCAATAAGGTCCCCAGAGAATACCAAAAATAGACTTTGGGGCCAGGGTTTGGCACCCCATCAGACCTGACCGAAAACACTCCTAAAGGCCAACAAACAGTCCTTGAACTAACTACAAGCTTTTCTTTTTTTGTTGTTGTGTTCTGTGTTTTTTTCTGGTTTGTTTTGTTTTGTCATTGGCTTTTTGTTATTATTTTGTTTTCTTTTGTTGCTTGGTTTTACTCTGTCTTGTTTTTCTGCATGTTATTATCTCCAGAGGTCTGTCTAAATAAGATAGGCTGGATGAACAATCTGGAAGAGAAAACAACAGGACCGACAGTTCCTGGCGGACATGGGAGAGGGGGCGGTGGGGGTAAAGGAAGTGGTGTTAACAAACCCAGGAACAAGGGAACAACAAGTGATCCAAATCGGGGGTGAGGAGGGTGTAGGAGGCCTGGTAGAGCGTGATCAAGGGTAATATAACCAAGAGGAATTACTGAAACCCAAATGAAGTCTGAGCAAGATAGTGGGAGAAGAGGAAAGTAAAAGGAAATAGAGGAAATAGCTAAGAGGCAAAGGACTTTTATAGAGGTCTAAATGCAGGCATGTACATATGTAAATATATTTATGCATAACGAGAGGGGAATAGATCTATGTGCTTT